TTTAAATTTTCTCACAAAATTTTTTAACATCTAGTAATTGGATATAACTGTTGCAATTTACATAAAAAAATTAGTTAATTTTTTTTTGTTTAAAGTTCAATCTAGTCAAATATAAGACCTCTGTGTGGTCACATAACTATGTCTAAATTTTTTTTAAAAAATAGTCGATCATTCACATTTTCGATGCATTTAGTTAAAATTCAAAATTATTGGAATTATTTAAATTATACTCCTTAATTTAGAAAATTTATAGAAAATTTTCAAATCATTCAATCATTTTAATAATTGAATATTTTTTGTAGCTTGTAGCATTGGGTTTAATTTTATCCCTAGCTTGATTTCAAATAAAAATAGTCGGTTTCTTACATGACATAAGTTTGACTTGAAAATTATTTTTTTAATAAAAATTGTACTAAAATGAAAAATTCAAGGGATATCAAATTTTGAAATTCAATTCAAAATGACTTTTTTTAAAATTTTAAAGATCTTGATAAAAAAAATTACATAGCTTTTTTTATAGCTTAGATAAGTTCAATTCAAAATGAACTTATCAGTTATGAATTTTTGAACAATTCGATTTGAAAAATGAAATAACATTGAAATTTTGAATTATAAGTGTATTATAAGTATAAGTTTTTTATTAAATATAATAAAAAATGCAATTTTTTTATCATTTGTGAAGAAATATAAATATTTTATGTTGTGTATGCAACATAAGTGGATAAAAAAATTTTATAAAAAATTATTTCAGAAAGATGATATCATAGAAATATTTTTTCACAATAATTAAATCACATGTAAATATAAGATATTTAATAAAATATTATCTATTTATCTATATCTTCTTAACAATTTGAAAAATTCTCACATGAATTTTTAGTTACATTTGGGCATTACTTCCATTAGTAGTTCTTGCAAACATTTTTTATTCAAACAAGATGCAACTATCATGTTTATCGTTTTTACCATGAATCATAGTTCTTTTATCATATAGTAATGAAGTTTTATCTCAGACAAACGATTTTCTGTTTTATGTAATCGATGCACTTATATCTTCATAGCATATATGTGAACGTAATTATATCCCAGATGTAGCAGTGGATCATAATACTTATCAATTGAACACTAGTCTCTTAAGAATATGAACAATAATCATCATGATTTGATGAAAAATGTGATTATTTGTATGAATCATTGCCATGTCTTACATGGAATATTGGTATGATATGTACTCAATTTGAATAAAGATAAACATGTATTTGGAAAGAATAAACATTACTTAAAAATTTTTTTTGGTTAAAATTGTCCATGTTTCATTATTCTGTGATCATATTGTAGATCAAAGTATATTCATCATGAATCACCAGGATACAATGTGTAAGAGATCATGACTTTGGTATGCTTATATGGTAGTAGATAGTTCATATATGTTCACATTGATACACCAGAGAACCCTAGCCTCATGTTACCCCTCTTTGATTTCAGCCATGCAGTTGATGGCCTATTCCATCCCTTTTGCAATATCTTATATGCACAGAATGTGGAATATAGAGCATACGGACGGAAGCGGTAATGTTTCTCGTTTGGATTGTCGGGGAATTGAATTGAATACCAAACTAGAACTTTCTAGGGGGTTGTTGAAAGCGCAGGAAACGGCCGGCAACGGGCTTCCCATTCCTCCAGTCAATGCGAGGCAAGGGTGCATGCCAATTGTCTCTCGAGTCTGACAAGAAGGGTACAAAGTCGTTAATGAAGTCACTGAAATCTCCCCCAGCATAGTTCGAAAACAAAGTGTCCCCCATAATGTGCACAACCGTTGCTCATGTCAATATAATGTACACTGTCAAGAGCAGGAGTTCAGTTCCGGTCCGTGAACCGCGCCGTGTGGCAAAGCGAGAGACAGGCCAGCCAATCACCGGTGACCATGACCCGATGACCTGAAATGCGAACTGCGGTAGATTTTGCTCACCGACGGGTAGCTAGTTGGTGGGCGATGTGGAATTCGCACTTTCATCTCAGAGTTGAATGTTCAGTGCTGAGCCCGGGAGGAGTAGGTGTGCGCTGGTGGACACATTCTGGTAGGTCCTCTACATCAGACAGTTCCATCCTGCACCACTACTCAAAGGAAGGAAATGAAGAATCATCGCAATCCCGTGAGCTGGATGCAGTTGGTTGATATGGAAAATAATTCCCAAAGTTACTTGTGGTCTTACACCAAAATACAAAAGAATCTTCAAATCTTTATTCATATTTCCTAGTCCTGATAGAACTATCGGGACTAGGAAATCTGAATAAATAAGGGAAATATGAATACGCTCACGAGACCTCAACTCTTGTCGAGGAGTGTCAGAAACCCATCTGTTCCACTCTCGTTGTTTTCAAAATATCGTCTGATGCTGGACATTTACGGTTTAGATTGTAGGATTCACTCGAGCTAACGAACAGGGATGACATGAATGACGGCCTTGTCATGAATTAAAGCTTTCGTGCAAGCCGGCAAAGTTGAAATAATTGTTAAACTACCACAGTGCGAGATACATAGATGTGGACTTGAGGTCTGAGCCCAGTTCACCATTACAAGTTCATGGCATGGCGTCAGCTTCAGATCTAGAGTACGAAACAGTATATAGTCACTCAAATCCAGGTTCAGGAGTTCAGGATTGCTCATCAATGCTTAAAATCAAATTTTCATATCAAGGCAAGTGAGCGTCATGCTTACACCATGCTCACTCGAACACAACACTGCTTTTGTTTATTTTTTAATGGGAATTCACACTGGACCACTTCGTTGTTCTCAATGTGCTTGCAGCTCTCAATACATAGAGGTAGACAGTTGGGCTTGCTTGGTTCATAATCTTCGGACATTTATTTCTTCAATCTTTGCATGTCTACTCACCTTATTCCAGCTTTAAAGTTTCGAACACCAGTCACCACACCGTGTTTCATGGCTTTTCCACCCTCGGACTCTGTTTTGTATGTGCCTTCCATACGTAATGACTTTCGATTCTTCCGCTACTAGATTCCAGGAATGTCTCAATGAATTCCAGCTTTCCATTTATTTCTCGTCTACACAAAAACACCAAAAAGTTGGCATCATTTGCTTTTTCGTGTGTGGAGATAGACTAGCACATTTTTCATGCCAAACGAGAAGCCCGGATCTAAGGTCAATCTAAGCACAGTGATTGCCTGAATCTACTACAATAAAGACATGATGAGAAATGGTTCAGTGCCGATACGCACCAACTCATCAAGCTCACATCAAACTCTTCATCTCACTTATTTCTAATTCGTGATGGAGAAAGGAGTGTTTTGTGGAAACCACCTCCCAAACCAACCCCAACCCTCCACCAAGTGGTTTCTTGCTTATATATATATCCTTCCCCTAAAATCCAGGACTCTCGAGATAGATACGGCAAGAGAGCATGTAGATGTTTACACTAGGAGTGTGCAGAAAATATTCTGCATTCCTAGTGTAAACATCTTTCGGATCGAGATAAGTCGGATACAAAACCATCCTAGCATGGCTCCTTCTAAACATTTACAGCATTTCCTCTTATGTGTGCAAAACATGTGTCATACAAAGCAAAGCTTGGTTGGTAGAATATTAAGATATCTCGGATACAAAACCATCCTAGCATGGCTCCTTCTAAACATTTCCAAAATTTCCTCTTAAATGTCCAAAACATGTTGGATACAAAGCAAAGCTTGGTTGGTAGAATATTGAGATATCTCGGATACAGAACCATCCTAGCATGGCTCCTTCTAAACATTTCCAACATTTCCTCTTAAATGTCCAAAACATGTTGGATACAAAGCAAAGCTGGGCTGGTAGAGTATTGTGTGCGTAGTGCTCTTCTATGCTCCACTTCGGCCCTTTTCCTCAACTCTATTCAAATTGTCATTTGTACCCAGTTCTCTTGAACTCCGTCTAGTGCATGACAAAAATCTGGCAGTTTGTGTTTCAGCAGGCCCTGTCATCATGAGACATAAATCTAATGTACTCTCCTTCAGCACGAGAATGGGTGCTCCTCCACGTAATTTATGAAGGAATTATGAGTAACGAAAGAAGTAAACTTGGACGGGTTTAGCTGCACAAACTTATACATAGGCCCTATATAGGGCCTTCATAGGATCCCTGACACCTGGCAGTACGGCCGATTGTAAAAGTTTGTGCAACTAAGCGAGTCGAGTAAACTTCACTCCACTTCACTTATTCTCTTGCTTTGTGGATGGGAGCTGATTGAAAACTAATCGAAGGCCCGGAAGGCCGCCGGAATTGAAATCTTTAGCGAAATTCGTGCCATAGCGCGCTCGAGGAACTCCTGAGCAGAGAGACAACTTGGCTTGACGTTGACACAACGGAGATGCTTGAATGGTATACGCTGTCTCACATATAGAGAGCTCAGATGTACTTGCAGTGTTCTGTTTGTCAAACTTCTGATGTGTAGTAATGCATTTTTCGGCATCTCCCTCTAATCCCACTCTATCTTTGATAAAGTATTGTGCCAACAGTCTTCTGTGGTAACTTGATAGTTGGACACTGGTTTGTAATATACGTGTCTTCTAGCTTGAGATTGGAGAGTACATTCCGATTTTCACGTTTTGGTAGATCCAAGCTCCATGTTATTTGGCTGACCCCTTGCCTTGCCTTGCCTTCTAGAACGTCGGTTATTCAGTAAAATCTTAAATTTACGTTGGTTTTCAGTTCTATTCTAGATTACAAATTCTGTGCTTATTTGCTCTCTATTATATTATTTTACCTCTGGTTTTCATATATACGTTTATGCTACATGTATTGTTGCTAGATGTAGGGAGAAACCCTCTTCGGCCATGCTCGGACAGCTTTTTGGACGTTTAGTATTTAGACATTTCTCTCATCCCACTCGTTTCATGCATTGCCAGAGTACCATGTTCATGAATTGCCAGAAGAGAAGATATCCTCTGTGTAGCTGCAAACTCGAAACTAGGTTTAGCATGGAGGTATCTGGAGGATTGAAAACATAACAACATATCTGAAGCTTACTGTAGAGGTGAAACATCGTTTGGATTCGTTTGAAACTTTGCCATATAGCGGAGTCATAGAAGAGGATATGGCGCAACAACCAATCCTGGTTCTGTTTACAAAGGTATCGAAAACCTTGATGGCACTTGGAGGAGACTTTCCTAAACTGTGCATTCTTCAGTGTTTGTCAGCTATATCTTTTCTTCACCAGTGCAATAAAATACTTCTCATACTTCCAGCTAGAACCTGCTGCCCAATAAAATGACACGGAATGTCTATGATGATGTTCAGATCTTGCATAAAAGCACTTGGCTGAAGTCTAGTAAAAAGCTACTCACTCATGCGTTTGTTGGTTTTAACAACATAATGGCAGAGCTGGGAAAAGTATTTGCTGTTTACGTAGTACAGAAGGTAGGAACATTATCACCTGCATTCACGACGTCGAGTACAGATGGAATCCAGCACTGTGGTTTTGTGGAAACTCGAAGGAAAAGTAGACAGCCATTTTGAACAGATAATAATCTGGCTGAAAGGGAACGTTGCTTGAACTGCCAAGTTAAGAGCTAAGTTTCTGACGAGAGCAAAGGAAAAAGGTACACAATGGACCGGCTTCGAGTTTGAGGAAGATGGATTAATAAGACTTGTAAGAGGAACTGACAAGGGAAAGACTGCTAAGAGTGAAGCACATACTAGAGGGTGATGACAAAAAAAAATAATAGCATATGCAGAAGTATTACTGGAGGGGGTGTTTGATTTCTACATCTCTTTTATGCATGAAGCTTGAAGACTTTCAAACGTGCAGAAGTGTTGAGATGCATGACCGGAGCGACCACATAGACATCCAGTATCATTTTATTGGAGAAAAGGTGCTAGCTGGAACTATGAGAGTATTTAACTCAAGGCAGGTTGATGTTCCAAGATAGCTCCTCACCTTGATTCATTCTTCAAATCACCTTGTTCACCTTCGGAGTACCTCGATCGTTCTCAACATCAACTCATGTTGCAGCTTCGGCTGCGCAAAATCGAAGAAAGCAATACGATCCTCGAGATCGTGCGTAAACGCAAGAATATATACACCTGCCTCAGTCTTGAAACCAGTTAATAAGCAGTTATTCAACCAACAGAGAAGAGAACTTGGTCATTCTTGCTCGTGGCTTGAGTTTCGAGAAAATTCTCAGAACCAGCAACAAACATGATAGAATGTTTGTCGTCTCCAACCGAGAGCACATGCTTGCCAATACCCAGTACCTTTGTCCCACTGGACGTCACGGTACTCAAGTCACGGCAAGCATTTATAACCAAGTTCCAAGTATGCTGCGACTCAGCCTCAAGATGAACACGCTCAAAGGCTATAAGTTGTCTTAATGGGACGCCATCCCTGCCACTACCAGGAGGAGTAGAAAAGAGCATGAGGACATGACTTCCGCTCCGGAGCCCTTCATTTTTCACTTCGATCTGAATCTCAAAGGACGAATCTTCACATCTATTCAAGTCATGATCTGTGCATTGAATCAGATTGCTCTCAACAAACTTGTGCTCGTGGTAGCAAGCTTGTTGCTGTAGATTGGGTGCCACAACAACAGCAGGAGCCGACTTCACTGTATGTCTGAAGGTCGTGTACGATAGCCCTGAACCAAAAGGGTAAACAACCTCTTCAGTGTAGAAGCGATAGGTCCTCCCAGGATAACCTGATGATTCGTTGGGACGCATGTGCATATCTGTCATATTCACCCGGGTGAAGGACTCTGGATACCACGTTATTGGAAGGTTTCCTCCTGTAGAAGAAAATAACTCAAGGTGAAGTTCCAAAACTAAAAACAAGACAAACATGATTCTATCCTTTACAGATACTAAAAGGATTTCGGTTGCAGATGCAGATTTTGCAAACAAAAAAAAAACATTTGTAAACAGTATTTTAGCTTTCAGAAAAGATTCACGATTATTCCATGAAATAACAAAAGCAGAGGCACAAAAGCATTCAATGCCATGCTGTCAGATCAAATGATTAGAGGCATATCTCGTGGCCAGTTCTTCATACCATCAGACTACAGAGGAAATTTCATTTACCTGGATTCCGCTCTCCAAAAATGATCTCTGCAAGTGCTTGCCCTCCAGCTTGCCCGGGATAACCTACCCACAAAATGCTGCCAATGTTTGGATCGTCTTTGGCAAAAGATACATCCACCGGACCACCCGACATGATGACAAGCACAACAGGGCCTTTGGAAGCTCTGGCCACGGAAGAAACAAGCTCCTGTTGATGACCAGGTAGCAGCAGACTTGTTCTATCGAGTCCCTCTTTTTCTTCACTCAGACTAAGTCCTACCACGATTACGACGGCATCCGCTCCAAGTGCCGCTTCGGATGCATCGCTAAAATCGTCTTCCTCGCAGAATATGCTAGAACATCCTGCTTGATAGTCGATGTTGCTGACAAACATACTCAGACCTTGAGCTGGTGTGATGTACGTGCAAGGAATGCCTGCAAATCAGAAGACATTAATTTTTCTTAAGAGTGCAAACAACTCAAGAGACATGTTTTTCAGAGATAATTTTTCAAAGTGAAGGTGATTCAGTAACCTCACCAGCGTAGCTGCCAAGCATTCGGAACTCTTCATCGGCTGCGCTAGGACCCACAACAGCTAAGGACGATACAGTTTCTCTGGAGAGTGGCAAGGTCGTATTATCATTCTTCAGGAGGACGATGCCTTGCAGTGCGGCCTCCAGTGCTAGATCTTGGTGCTCGTGAGTACAGACATCCTGTGGGCCTATATTTCTGTAAATTTGAGTTTGAGAAAGACCATCAAAAAGTCCCAGTCGCATCCGCACCAACATTAGATTAGTAAGTGCTCTATCAACCTCCTCCTCCGACAGCTTGCCTTCATCTACAGCCAATCTTCCATGATTGCTGATTGTTATTCCACAGTTGAGATCCATGCCTGATTTGAGCCAGAAAGTAGACCAAGGAAACTTATCATATTGTATTCACAGGAGATATATGTGTGAGGGTCAACATTCATATAACCAATCAAATCGTCTAGAGACAACGGCGCAAAAGTCAAAAGCTGTCGATGCAAGTTAAATCTGGTTCTATGATTATCTTGTCCACTTCATCAGAGTAGGCCTTCTTCCAAGTACCTGCCTGCACAGCGTCTGCAACAGCATCTTCCAGAGTTAATGCGTACTTGGGGTCATTGATCATATCGTAGACAGCATCGCAGTCTGAGACTATGTACCTGAAAGGATACATTTGATTGCAGAATTAGATGTCACATGTAACGTCACTCTGTTATAACAACAGCTAGAAACACATCTGCCATACTCTACAAACGGGCAAGTTGTTAACAGCGCAGAATGAAGCAACAGAGCGAAGTAAAACAAGAACTAACACACTTAGGTGGGACGATGAGTGCACGACTCCTGAGCTCGAGACAGTTTGGTTGTTTCTTGAGGATTGGTTAGAGATGTTTTACCCATGAAAATCCCACTTTTCTCTGACAGTCTTGGTGAGGAGCTTGTGATGTGCGCACGCCGGCGTCCCATTCACTCGAGTGTACGCGCACATAAGACTACTAGCTTGTGCTAGTTCGATACAGCTTTGAAAGGGTGGATTGAAAGTATCTTCCATGTCTTGATCTGTCACCTGACACAAGTGAGCAGTTCCAACATATTCAAAAAGTTTCAGCTACAAAGCAACCTATAACTCTTATCCGAATGAGACTTACATCTAAGAGTAGACTGCATCACGTCATACAAGATGTTGAAACCTTCGCAGAGGTACAACATACCAGCGCGTCAAAATGATCACGATCCACGCCTCCCCAACCTTCTAGATCATACGCAGTAAAATGCTTGCAGCAACTAGAAGTCTTCAATTTAAAATTTGGATCCTCGTTCCTCTGCGCTTTTAGCTCGTTTCCTTCTTGCATTCCGACTACAAAGTTAGCGGCATAAATGCTGGACAGAAGAGGATCTTCTCCTGGAGTTTCCTGCCCTCGTCCCCATCTAGGATCTCGGAAAATGTTCACATTCGGTGACCAAAAGGTCAAGCCACTCTGACCCGAATTAAACATCGCACGAGCTTCTGTTGACACCACCTGTGATCAAACCGGGCTTACGTATTACTCAAGTATAACAAGAAGATCGCTGTGAGGCTGAAGATTTCAGTAGCTTGCAGCCACAAACACGAATCTAAAACTGTGCATTCTCTCTTTGGTAATTAGAGCTCCGCTAAAACAAGGCCAGTCTTTGAATATATTGATTCGCAGCACAAAGGTTTGATGAGGATCCGTGGATGTACCTGACCAATTCTGTTGAACAGAGTGCTGTTGAAGGAGGCAGCGGTCAGTATCGGTAGGGGAAAACTCGTTGCAGCTATGATGGGACCATCGAAATTTACGCCTGGATTGTTGTTGGCGACCCCATGCAAGGCTTCTTGCCACCACTGATAAGCTGGAATGTTCAGCCGTGGAATGCCGGGTGCCGTGTTCCCGAGCTGCTGAATTTTTTCGCTCAAATTCAGCTCCGAAATCAGGTCCTTGACACGTTCTTCAAATGAATTCGCGATGTTGCAGAAAGAAAAAGAGGCGGGCGAAGATTCGCACGCATACTGCAGACCAATTACTTCAAATCCTCCGATCGCACTCCAGAGAACTATAAAGAAGGTGAGCACCCGAAAATTCCAATTCGGAAATTCCATCTTCGTTACAGAGCTGTGCAAGCCACTTGTGAGCGTTCTATTTCACGCTCGGAGAGATGATGGCACCCGACATGAGATTTCATTCATACCCAGCACCCACAAACTCGACAGGCTTTCTCGACCGCCCTGCTGTCACAGGTCGTAGCACAGCTCCAACTCGCCAGCTCTGCCAACAAATTTTTTTTCAAAAAAACACAGAAGATCCAATTCACCTTACGTTCGGTCGTCTGAGAATGTTCTGTTCCGACAAGGTCAAGGCCATTCACTCCATTCCACAACTGCATGCACGAACTGAGCGAGTGAGATCATAAATGTAACGAAATCGAAGAAGCAAGAATGTGACTGATTCCAATTACACTGTAAGAGCGATATGTGTCTCGCACCTTCTTGGTCTGTAGATGGCAGTTACTGCTTGGCCCCAACCACACTTGGACAAGCAAGCGTCCTCGTCCTCCCTGGAAGAGAGGATGAGGACGACAGTCATCCATTGTGATTCTGGGGTGCCACGAACATTCTGAGAGCCCCAGTTATATATAGCGGCCTGCTACAACCTGTTGGAGTACGGGGACAATAGCCAGACCTGTTGCCAGTGGTGTGAAAGCTCATCTCAATCCAACGAAAGCACTTTCTTGTCACCGACGTCTCTTAAAGATATCAGTTAAAGCGACTCCGTGTTTGGTCGAAAGTAAGCAAGTACGAATATTGCTGGCTCCTGGCTGCTGCTGCTCTACCTCTTCACTACTACAGCTCTGGTCTGAGATTTATCAGGACCCTTGCTGACCTCCTTCGCTGCAAGATGGAAGGCCTGTCTGCACAGCACAGGCATTAGGCTACTCTCATCAGACAGACAGAACCTACGATCATTGCACCTTGATCAGGTATTGCGCTCAGCAGCAGCAGCATTTAAGGGCGTGGTTCCTTAAGTGTCCTCGTGTGTGCGTGGACACACGAGTCATTCGTTCACATTCCAGCTCGGTTTGACTTCGTGAACAATGATCTGAATAATGATCTGGCCAAACCGTGTCTAAAGGGAAGTTTAAGCGATGTTGGTTGAGCTGCCTGGGCAGAAAAGGTGGCAGCGATGGTTTTGCTGTAGGGAGCAATGGGTTGGGTAGTTCATCTATTTTCAAGAAAGTGTTCATTTCATGCCAGCAGGATCTCCTCCACACTCCCCTGGACTGTACAAAGCGACCTTTTTCGGCCCATATTTTAATAAGTGTACGACTTTGGATATGATCAAAACCGCCCTCCTCTCGAGTTCAAGATTCGTAGTAAGAGGCAAAGCTGCTGGTTAGCTTTGCCGAAAGGTTCCAAACTTTGACCGGGGACCTTTGTACGTACATGTATAGCGTCATGAGAGAATCTGGCCAGCAGAGGCCAGGCGAGGATCTTGCCACCTGAAACTCGGACCAAAAAACCTTCGATGTGCTGATTCACTGAAGCGTTACTGTAAGCACTTTACCGGTTTCAGATTGTCCATAGGTATCCAAAATCCAGCCAGTTATCACGTGCCATCTTATCTTCTTCAAATAATACGTACCTGATTCTTGAATCCCATCTTTCTTTAGCCACCTACAAAGTGACCCATCCAGCAAATGCTCCGTGGCTCAACTTGCTTTGGTCGTACCGTCATGCATTTCGCTGCAAGCAAGAGATATTCAGTCACCAGATAAAAAAAAGATGTCGTACCTCGACACTCTATTATCGTTGCAGATTTTCAGTTTCACATGAGACTCCAACTGTTAACTTCCCCTTGTTGTACTTATCCAAACAATTGTTGTTACACACAACACCTGCAACCCAAAGCACATTCAATCCAAACTGCGTCTCCTTTTCTTTTCCTGGATTGGAATCACGGACCGACGAATCGCAAAACCGAGAAGTGGACAATCCTATTGTCTCGAGAAAGATCAGCAAATGAGATTTGAGAGAAAAAATTGACAGGGAAGTACATGGGCACTGGCAGTCTGTGCATGATGGAACCCAGAAGTGGGGCAATGCGGGAAGTCTACAAAATTGCAGTAAAGTAATATGGGTAGCTCGTTAGTTCGCTGACAGTATGACAAACCCATGTGAAGGGCTCATGAAATTGACATCAATCTAGCTGTCCTGAGGAGAATTTTTAAGTACGGAATCCACTTATTATTGCTATAAAGATGTAGTGTAAAAGACGGACAAGATCCAGCTGCCAGGATGTCTACAGCTACTCGGTGAGTTCCTGACAGGTCAACCGTAAGCCTTCGAGTGACAGAGCTGTCTTAAAAGATCAGGCAGTAGATATGGCAAAATTTTGATTGATAGGCGCAGAGTGGCAGACGTGTGAGCGAGATTGAGAGCGACGGGAAACACGTCTCTGCAGTCCAGAAGAAAAGGAACACCGAGCGGAAAATATTCCTAAAATGATCCGCCTCAACTAAAGTGCATCACAGCCAGGTAGCACACATTTCTTTTCCATGAAGGAGAAACCTGCACGAAGCTCATGAGTTGCAAAATTGCTGTTAAATTAAGAGTTATACATCGTGCTTTTCCACACGTGCTGTATCTACAATCCTCGATAAAGGGTCTTCGCTGAAGCCCATGGATAAACGGATGGACTCCAAAATGTACACTAGATCAAATATTCAAATCATGAACACATGACTTCCTCATGGTGCCTTCGACACCGGTCCTTCACTGGCCCAGACTGAACCTCCTGTCAATCAAGGTGCTGAATAAGGGACCTTGCTTCTATCACATGGAAGTTTCCATCAGCCAGTAGCCTCTGGATTCAGTGGTCTCTTCTGCGAGACCTTCAACCATCCGTCCTGTACAAGCTTTTCAACAGCCCCACTCTCATCGTCTCCCTCTCTCCTCTCTCTCCTACAGTTGACCTACATCCGTTTCGAAAAGTCACTCCATTTGTAGACTAAGCCTTGACTGCTACAAAAAGCGTACCTTTAAAGAATTATGATGCTCTCTCCCTTCCTTTCAGCTCTACCATTTCATCCTACAACACTACATCCTTGTCACTCTTCTTACTCCTACCTTCCCTCTTCCCTGCACTAGTTGACAGCTTCGAGACTGTCGCTTCAGATAAGGCGAAGGGGCCCTGACTCCTCTTGGCTGCAGCTTTTGAGGGAGGTTCACAGTAGCAAGTGTAGACGGGGTGACTCTTTTTCTCGACATACGGTGAGATTGCTCCAGACACTTGTAACTTGGTCGATCCGGGCTTGTTCTTCAAAGCAGGAACCAGAATATGGTTGAGTCCTTCGGTGATTCGCTCCCCGGAAACGTGAGCGTAAAATACTCCTGGCACCGTTGGTACAAAAACATCGCTCCACGAACATATGTAGAAATCAACTGCCTGCTCAAACTGAGTCTTGCCAGAGAAAAGATACTGGTTCTCCTCATTGAAAGGCATGCTATATTCCTGTGACATGAGAATGTCGTAAAAGTTGTCAGAAACCTTTCTACCTTCAAAAGTCGAATTTACGAACCGAAGGTACAATCCGAAAAGGTTGTATCTCCCACAAATTGACTGATTTGACTGTTGAATTCCTTTCCAAGCAAACTGATGCGAAAGCCTCGAGGTGGGAGCCTTTACGCCTCTAGAGCTCCCTACATCTTCGGAAAAGCCCACACCCATGCCCATACCAATCAGGAGAACGCATCCGGAGAATGTCTTACCTTTGTGTGCACATTTGGGTACATCTGCTGAAGCGAGTCCAGGATAGGCTCCCACCGTGACTGAGTCAGATAAAGAGCTGTCTCGGTGGGATAGCCCAGCTTTTTTAAGAACTGTCCGACCTCAGTGGGCTCCAGACACCTCTTCTTCTTTGCAATTGTAGCGTTGCACGTCTTATGGCGAAGTAAATCCACCTGCAGATCTATTGCTACGAACCGATTACCAGCTGACTTAGGTGCGGCTTCTCGCATCCTGTTGAGCAGGCGATTTCCCAGCTTTTGTATGAGGATGACGAACTCCAGAGCCTTGTGCATCACAAGACATCGAATGGCTGCCAGCTCGGGGTCCTCCTTCTCGCTCTTCATCGCAGGTAGGAAATTCCCAAGGTACACTACTCCGTCCCTTTTAAATACAGGACGCACATGCTGTTCGATATATTCTCGACCAACTTTCAGTGGTATACTCGTGATGGTTTTGTTGCCTTTGGCATAGTCCTTAGGCAACTGCCCAACAACCCGGACCACTCCTTCCAAACTGGAAATGAAATTCCTGACGTTGTAGATATCATCAAACCGGCTGCACAGAATCGCACACAGGAATGAACCGACATGTCAGAATCATCACATGAGGTCAGAACAACGAGGCATACTCAAATCCATGGAAATCCAATAACAACGGTCCCGTGCATGTACAAAGTACATGGAACTTTAGATTCGAGATCACAGAGCTCATCGTCCAGACAGCTTCACAACTCTGTTTTCTTCGTGCTACGAGTATGAACGAACCTGTTCGGTTCTTTCTGGGCTTCCTTCACATTCGGCAATACAAGAGTAGCTCCGAGTTGTGTCGCTACCACAACAGCGTCGGCTATCTGGGATCAAACGTCCAGTCACGTTAGACGTAGGAAGTAAACTTCCAACAACATAGAGCAGAAGATATGATTGAGAAAACAGTTCGAGGCAAAGCGCACAAGGCCTTCAATCATAGCAGTTCAAAGAGACCATGCAAGTGAGCGAAATAGGATAGTAGAATAGGTGTAGCAGAAGATCTGAATATGAAGCTAAGGTAAGCGGGCAAAGCCATTTGATGGAAGAGAGTCGTTGCTCAAACGCAACATTTCTCGAGTCTGAGACACACCTGTGCACGGTGATTGTGAGGGCCATTTGAGCACGTTACGACCACGAAGCCCCAAGTCTTTTCATATTGCTCTGCACTTCCACCAACACAACTGAGCATTCGACATGCGCAACTAAGTGAATAACCTAGCCGCTGATAACATGGTCGCATGTGTATGTTGCATTCTTCAGGTTTAACCTGCAGACCTTATTCATGCATTCTGTTGTACAAATCAGACAGAATCCAACAGATCCTTCGCTGATCTTGTACTCTAACGGCTGCAGTGAAGTCCATTTGCATGCTATCAGATCATCGGAAAGAAGCCGAAGACTAGAACGCTTGAATGACTATCCTAGACGAGGATCGGTACACAAATCTCCGATTCAGTTCGAAGTCGAGAGACATTTACGCCCGCGTTTAACAATTCTCTAGGAAGCTACTCAACTTCAGATGCTATCGTCTCAATAACCGTACACCTAAGGCACATGACATTCTCAGAAGAATGTCAAAATGAAGCTTCAAGGCACACAAAATGTCGGTCATCTGTGTATGCCTTCTGTGAAGTCTCGGCGGAGCCCACTGATTTGAAGGAATGAAATATCGAAACGTACAGAAAAATGTCTATTTTAAGCTAGACTGTGAAGAGCCGTGGAACAATGTACTTGAAGATAAGAGCATCCAAGCTCAATTGAAGAGTCGGATTCATGTAATCAAAGCAGAATAGAGGTACCAACATGACTTCACGAGGTTTGTAATCTGGAGTGGCAGAATGAATCCTATCCATAAGACGCTACTGTGGGACTGAGAAAAAATAAACGCCTGTAAACTGAGATTAACCAACGCGCGGTTCCAACGTCGTCGACAATTCCACCAGAATGCAAACAGCGGCAGATCCTAATCGCTTCGGATACGGGACTTAGCAGACAGACCTAAACCTCACAATTGCCTTCCATTTTACCCCGGTTTCCATTTCTCCATGCTACTACTGATTCTTATGAGAAACCATGACTGCTTGTGATATAGATAAACTTACTGGTGAGACCCGTGCTCCAACAGGGCTCCAGCACTGGGCCAGGTTTACCCCACAACTTTGCTTCCAGTTTGCGGTTCACTGCTTCTAGTCTGGGATTATGCCATCCTCTCTCAGCTTGCGACTCATAAGGGCTCAAAATCTGTATCAAGAGCAGAAACTGATAAGTAAAGAGATGAGGTGATACTGAAATGAGGCAATTAGACTCCTCCATTCAAACAAATGTCATCATGAATCCCTCAGAAATCCTACAACGCTGTAGATGGATCATGACTTGGATCATTATATTTTGACACCTGACACGAGCGAAACCAAAGGACAAAGCAGTCACAGGAAACCTCTCACAGCGCTGACCGTAAACCCACCGTAGAATCATCGACCCCAACTCGATTATAAGCAAGGGCAGAAGGACGATTTCCGAACATATTCAGCAACAGGACGATCAGTCCAACGGCTGACAGCCCTATAATCGTTCTCTGAATGTTACTCATTTTGCGAGAAGCGTCACCAATTCCCACCGATCAATGTCTTGAAGCAAACAATCACAAGCTCCTCCTCATCACCAACTCTGTCTCAAACTGCGGCAGCTGCTTTTCCTTTCCCGTACTTCTGTCCTATGACTCGGTGTTGGGCAATGCCTTGAACCTCAAAGCACAACCAGTACAGCCTAAAACATGACCAGCAGGCTAACGATCCAAACCCAGGCCGTCAAGCGGGGTGATCAACCAACTTGAGGGGCCAATCTGCCGACTGTAGGCAATCCGATCCCGAGTCTTCCTGTCCAGTCGGCGCATCTAACTACTGTCCGGCAAATGCTTCCCCTGTTCTGCTTTATCTACTGATAAAGCAGTAACCAGAATCCAGGCGCCACAGGCGTCCTCACTTAGAACCCACCCACAATTAAGCACAGCTCCGACCCCGATCCGTCGACCGGCGGGGACCGAACAAAAAAGAGAACAACCGTCCACCTCCTCACCGGCCTGAGCTCTGCTGTGCTCTATCCCCACGAACTCGCACCTTCATCCAGTGACAACCGCTGTGGACGAGGCCTGATGGCCGCACGCACGCGCCCACGCTCAGCTCAAGCTTCAGTGGCTTTATCCATGCTAGTCAAGGGCATGCCATGAACATGCCACCGCGGGCCTAATGTCTCGGCAAAAAGAGCGGAACCAGTTGTGAACAGTCTCACTCTTCGCGCTGAATTTCAACCATGAGACCTTTTCCAATTTCTTCCTTCCTTCCTTCAGCACCTGCAAGCTCCGACCTGTTTTCCTTTCCTGTTCTGTTCACGAAGGCTAAAGCTGCAGATTTCCCGGATCGGACTGACTGTACGACTTTCGGATTAGCTGACGGATTTCAGGGAAAATGCCTGGAAAATTCGGCGAATACTCCAGGAGACATTCTCCTAACTCGCTGATTATGCACATCGACAGCAACTGCAGCAGTTAGCCGAAGTTGTAGTGGGCACAATAACGGCCTTCGTATTGTCTAATTTGATCTGACCTGACCTGCTCTGCTCTTATCAGATCGGCTTAGCTCTATTACAGTCAGCTGAGAAAACAGGTTCTTAGCTTGTCCGGCACCTCATGAGCTCGCTGGTGCTTCTCTACTACCCATGGAAGGTCCAATGCAGCAGCAGCAGCAGTGGGACGTCGTTTTCGTCAATAGTCCTGCTATTTTAAGACTCGAACCTAGCCGTGGCTCCGTCGGCCCGGCACGCACGCAGGCACGATGCGCCACGATGACTGAGAAGACGAGCTCACGAGCTCGAGAGAGCTGCACTGCACGGGCCCATCATCTCCATCACTCACTATTCTCGCTCGATCGATCAGAGTCGTCGTCGTAGTCAGAGGTCTCTGCACTCCGACGCAGATGGTGTGACTTTCGGCCGAACCTCTGATCTGACTGCTCCGAGCAGCTCTCTACTCAGCTCCAAGCTCATGCTCCTCGTCTGTTTTTTCTCGTCCCCACAAGCTTGCAGAGAGAATCGTGTACCGCAGAGTAGGATCTTGGCTCCAACGATGTACCCTCCGACTGACCTGCTCGCCCTGCTTCTGCCTCATTTGCTTGGCGTTCGACTTTGCCTCCATCTCTGCTGAACACATCACGAGCATGCAGTCACAAACAAACGGTGCAGTCTTAACGCACCAGAAAATAACACGTCTTGTGTATACCCCCCTACCTTGTTCTCATGGTGTACTTCTTTTTCTCTGCTTGCCAAATCACATCAATCCAATCTTTCAGATTTCAGGTTAGTCAAGTACATACATGTGGTGCTTCATAGGCATCTCACAACATCTAGTATGTGCCAAAGTAAACTTTTGATTTTAATTTGTGGTAGGTTTAAATTTTGTCACATTGTCGCACAGCTTGAATGTCGTGCGAATATGTATGGTTATACACTTTATAGCGTTGATATGTTACTCACTTACACACATATAAAACACGAGAATGTACGCACTCAAAAGTACCATAATTAATATTCACATGTTTTTATTTATTGAAAAACATGTTAGTTTTATTACCACACGGGCAACAAAATTGTCACATACATAAATCAAGACCAACCCAATCGTCTCGAGAATCCAGGTCGACGCTTGAGTACACTCGATATTCCAACGTTACAGGCTCAAATGTACCATAACTGAAATTCACATGTTTTTACTTATTGAAAAACATGTTAGTCTTGATTACTCCACGGACAACAAAATTGTCACACATACATAAATTAAGACCAACCCATTCGTCTCGAGAATCCAGGTCGACGCTTGAGTACACTCGGTCGTCCAACGTTACAGTCCTCGTAGACTCTAAACCCTACTTGAAAAGTAACTCTAGCTCAACGGCTATATTTAATATATACAAAAATACATGATATGAGATGCAATGGTATGTTTACAAAAACACTTGGAAACTGCTGATATTTCCAGTATCTCAAACTCCTATTGATAACAAAACGTAAGTACAAGTTAAGGTATATTTGAAAGTTATAAACATAAGAGTGTATTTAATAATAGGTAGTGACAAATTGTTTGAGGAGAAAGCAAGTTCCACATTAGAATAAAAATATTTAGCTAAATATGCTACCATCCAATAGTAAGTGCATTTGTTGCAATATTTGAATAATTATGAATGAAATGTATGTTGTCACATAAATTTATAACTCGCTAGATTAATAAATCTACATGATAAAAAACTAAATATAATCTATTGTTGTGAGCTTTTAAAAGTTAAAAGCACTCACACATGTAAACACAATAATATATGCACAACCCACAGGTGGTCCAATAGTAGGGGTGGCGTTCACGAGAACACCTCAAGATTTATGAAGAGAAAACTCTAGAAGTGATTCTAATAATGTTGATGCGCTCTCTTGTATAATATTAATTTATTAAACTGCATAAATTGAAGTCAAGCTAACCCGAATCTACTCTCTAATTCATATAATGGGATTTGAAATCTTCATCATTTATATTTTGAAATAAATTTTAGAAAGAAACCTAACATTTGAGATTATTTATAGTAAAGCTAATTAAAACTAATTCATAATAAAAAATGATAATTTATATATATATATCTAGTAAATTTTAATTTGGATTTCAAAATAAATAACTTTGATCAACACATCATCTAGATTGAGTTTAGTATCAATTTTGACTACCTCAATCTTTTTTACTAGAAATTATATCTCTTATAAAATTATATCTTAGATCAATGTACAGATTGTATTTTATTCTTCTTTTTTCTAGGAGTTAAGTCATGTCTTTTGGTAACTCTGGTTAGGTTTACCCCAATTAGTGAAACTCATCAAAGTGTCAAACTATAATAGAGCTCATGAGAGCTCTTACTGACACAATATAGTATATACCAAAAAAAACCTGAGATGTTTTGTGGACGTAATTCGTTGTGGTGAATCATGTGTGTGTGGTGTGCACTATGTTTGTGAATGCATATCTTCACGTGTGTGTGTGAGTGTGTTTGACTTTTTATATGATAAAAAGATTTAACAATTTGTATTAAAAAATTCGATTGTTTTGTACTTGAGTTTTGATGTTCAAACTTGCCACAATTCACTCACCAAGTTTGAGTTTAGAGGTTTACAAATATGATGAATGGGAGATAAGATAGACAAAGATTTAGATCAAGCAAACGTCAAACAAACGCACAAGCAAAATAGAGTACTATGAGAGAGCAAAATATCAAACCCAACACAAGAATCTTCGCTACTTTCAATGAATCTAAAGATTACATGAGCAGCAATCTAACTGAAGTTCAAGAGATCATGGGGTCTAAGCCATGATGCACGAGATGAATGACGTACATTGTGACAAAAAAGGAATAAAATACTGATCAAAGTATTGTGGATTTTTGTACAATAGATAAAATACTTCCAAGTTATACTTTTTTTTTGTGCTTTAAAGAATAGAAAGGAGACCGGACAAATAAACCACATGCAAGCAATTAATATCACGCATAAGACCAAAAGACAAAACTTGCAAGGTTAAATATATATATATATATATATATATATATCTAAGTTTTTGAATGTTCAATCTTTCAAAATTTCTTATAAATGCTCTTATATTCACAAAAATACATTAAGTTACAAAAATCTATTGAAATCAACTTGCAGTAAAAGTTGATTTTGTTTACAAGTTGCTTACTTTAAGTTGAATCTTGATGATCTTTATGTGACTGAAGAACAATAATGTTGAAATGTTTTATTCTCTAAGTAGATTCAAGTTTTTACAATGATAAATTAAAAAATAAAATTGCTTTAGACAATGAATTTGAGCATAAAAAAAAAATTTAGAATGCATCATTATACAGATATGTAAGATCTTAGGAGTAAAAATTGAGAACATTATTTATGAAATTTTTTTCATGAGCTTTGAAATCTTCACACTTAAAAAAAATGAAGTGTGAAAAAAGTCATCAAATACATATTTGTAGAACTTGAAAAATATCAATTTCTTAAAATGTACGTGTTTCTTGTATGTTTAATTTTGAATAAACAAACAAAGCAACATTCTTGTGATTTGACAAGAAACAAAGAAATGTTATTGTAATTTGGAAAGAAGGAGAAACATAAAATATTTAAAGTTTAAATTTAAATTTCAAATATAAAGATTATTTTGCCTAAATTTAACATTTTATAGTTCCACTCTAAATTTTAAAGATTTATTTTTGATGCTTGGTATTTTCACATAAGTGCAAAAAAATACTCATTTATACATATGTCACAAGATAAAAACTGAAGATTTCAATCAATTGAGATTGTGATTTTTAAGTCACGCAAGCAAAATATGATCTTGCAAAATCAAGTTTATATAGTAACTATCTATTTTTTAAAATTCAAATAAAAAACAAACTAAAAGACAAAATGCAAGATGTTGTTTTTTTGAATATGCTAGTAAAATAAAAAAATTTATGCCATAAGGTTTTCTGAACATAAAATCTTATGTTACTTAAACTATGTACAAAATGATTTTCATTGCATAACATTTTTCATATATATATATATATATATATATATTTCAATAAATATGCATTGAAAGATTATGAATTCTTATGTAGTGTAAAATTGGTTATTGTATGTGTGAATTAATATTAGAGATTAATTAAGAAATTGATAATGATTATTTTAGATATAACTAATTCTAGCTAGTTATTACTAATTCTAGCTGATTATAACTAAATTTATCTAGTTATGATGTCTATACTTGGTGGAATAATTATGAGATTTTTGAAAAAAATTGAGTGAACACTCCTATTTTGTCTGTTGTAAAAGTCTAGATTCAAAGAGAAAATACTTTTGACTCCATGATTAATTTTGAATAGTTTGACTAAGTAATGAAAACTTCATTGATTAAAATAAGTTTAAAGTTGATTTAGTGGCAAGTGGAGGTTCTAGAAGTTTAAAAGTCTCAAATATCATATAGTCATCTCAGCCTAGAGATTGATAAACTTTTAAAAGTTTTTTATTAGATTAATCGCATATTGTCATTTATCGGAAATCAATCAAACCTATCATTGGTTATCTTTGTAAAAATAAGTTGAATAATAATTATCATTTTATACTACAATAATTTTTCAAATAATATAAGTAGAAAAGAGACTCTCAATCAAGTTTTGAAAGTTCATTGTTTGAATACTTGTTTCATCAATATAATTTTAAATTTCACAATACTTTTGACTATCAATGTATGTTTGCACTTGAATGATGAGAGTAAAATTTGTTTGCAATTGAGTGATGAGTGAATAGTATGTGTGAGAGTGTGTTTGGATTACAGACACATTGAAAAATACTAACCTTCTAGAATGATGATGAGCTATCAAAAAGATATGTGAAGTGATCATGAATGAGAGTTAGCTAGAAACACAATACCTCACCATGTCTTAAGATATTAATATATATTTTTTGATGATTTACTGGATAATGAAAAAATTTGGATGTTGTTGTAATCATCTTTAGTTAGTTATAGTAGAGATTACTCAAAATTGAGTACAGTCGATGATTGTAAGAATCTATAATGTTATTTCAAACATGTGCTAGTTGAGTATGTTAATTAATTTGTTAGTTGAGAGCGACAAGTCATTAATTTGTGTGTTTGTTAGGTAAGGAAATTAATTCCTTCGTTTGTTAGTTAAGGATTGAATGTGTTAATTAGTGTGTTAGTTGGGAGCGACACGTCAACAATCCGTGTGCTCATTAGATTTATCGGTCATGTCACTAATCCACTAGTAATGAATTAGATGGTAGATAGAATCTTTTATCTTTAAATATGTGTTTGAAGTATCTATTTAAAAAGAAGAAGAATCATTCAATGTATCTTATCTTCAGGATTTAAATTTCACCTTTAAATGAATTTCTCTCTAAATCATAATGTTACAATTGCGTGAAGGCTAACTTTGGAGAAAATTTACACAAGAAAAAATCTATAAACAATTTTATGTTAGTTCAATATCTACTATTCCAAAGAATGTAGCTCAGTTTACATCACAAGTTGAACATGTAGCGGTATCAAGAGGTTGTAAATTGTGACAATTATAAAAC